TTCTGAAAGCTTCAAGAACAAAGATTCCCTATTTTTGTCCTGATCCATTTATATAAAAACCTGTCTGAAAATGAGCTGATCAGATTTTGGCAACTTTATGATGTCATAACGATGTTTTGGCTTGTGTAACCATTAGCCAATCACCAACCAAGGTAATCCCGGCCACCTTATCACTATCATCTCTCAGAGGGGCGTGGCCAGCAGCAGCAGCTCATTAGCATTTAAAGCTACAGACACTTTTGGAAAAGGGCTGAAAACAGAGGGGTTATGGGAATCTTTTCTAGAGCTGAAAGTGACGTTTTCAGCTGTCTGTGCATGTGTGTGTGTGTGTGTGTGTGTGTGTGTGTGTGTGTGTGTGTGTGTGTGTGTGTGTGTGTGTGTGTGTGTGTGTGTGTGTGTGTGTGTGTGTGTGTGTGTGTGTGTGTGTGTGTGTAGGAAGGTGCGGGAGGTGACCAGGAGCATTGGGCAGTTCTTCAGTCAGAGCTGTGAGTTAAAATATGTCGGCCTGTCTGCAACCAAACTACCTCCACAAGCTCTCAGGTGTGTTTACTCCCAGCTCATGCAATGACATCATAACATGTAATGTTTTTAACATGGAAGTTGATGCCATCAATTGTATTTGTCAACATAATACAACACAAAACGTGTATGAGTCATTGGAACGTGACAGTGATCTTAACTGTAAACCGATTTCCTGTTTTGCAAATGACCTGATATATGCATCTGAACAATTGTTTCACCATTTCAGATATATCCCTGTCTGTACTTGCTTGTTCTTCTTCTGATTCAAAACGTGTTAATCTTTCCCTACTGTTGCCCCCCCCATCCTCCAAATCATCCCCACACTATTCCTATCGGAAGAGTTATGTTATCTCTATTTCAGTAGAACAACTCCTCCAATGTTCTCCCTTTGCATGTCTATTCTTCTCCAAACTCCTTTGTCTCTTGTAGCGAGACCATCATAATAATGTTTTTCTGTCTTTTACTGTCTTACTACACACTTCTCTCGACCATCGAACACAACTTTTCTGAGTTTTCCATACATTTACTCTGATGCTGCCTCAAGGATTCTTGCAAGATTTGTATTTAAGATGCCGTTCTGAAGACCCTCCTTCCCCTTTCTGAAACACTACTTCCTTTAAGATAGCTTCTACCACTTCATCATTAAATCATGCTCCCTACCCCAAAGGGAATTGAGGGAAATAAAGACACACAGTATATGTGCTGTAAATATGCTGACCTTGAACTTCCAGAAATGTGTGCACCTCTAGTCTTCTGCATAGATTATAATAATGTATTTGTGTATTGACACCATTGTTGCACATAGTTTATTTTTAATAACTGCAGCACTGTTCCCTTCTCCCTGTCTTGCGGTTTATGAGCTTCTTCATATTTCTCATACTTATAGTTTCCTAAAAACGTTCATTCTTAAAATATACCTGTCTACAAACACTTATATACTTTATTATGTTGTTTGTTTTGCAACTAGGTTATTACTACAGGGTCTGGCCACCAACATTCTTCTATTAGGTTTAGGGTTGGACATCAGCAGCTGTGAGGTACACACAGACACACAAAACCTAAAAAACACATTTGTCATTTGTAATGAGGAGAAGCTACAGTAAACAAATTATGTGTGTAGCTTCGTTCAGCAGGTGCTCAAGTGATACAGGAGCACATCTCTGAAGTCACAGCTATCACAAGTCTGGATATCTCTGACAATGGTTTGTAAACCCCCCCACGCACACACTGACTAACTCAGGACATGATCCTGCTACCATACACCCTTCAACAGTGTGTTACATGGGTGTAGTTTGCTGTCCATGTTTTTACTCAGGACTAACAATCTACACGTATAGGTGGGAGATAACCTCCGACTCTCACTTCCATGATAATGTCCCCCCCTTGCTTACAGGTTTTGAGAGTGACATGGTGACTCTGGTTCTGTCTGTGGGTCGATGTCCCTCTCTCCGGCACCTCGCTCTGGGAAGAAACTTTGCCATGAAGTCCAGGTCAGAGGAACATAATAACATCTGCTCATAATATTGAAATATATATTCCTGCTGAAGACAGCTGAAGTTAGGGTGGCCTACAGAAACACTTGTCAAAGTTCAAACCTAAAGAATAACTAGCTCCATGTGTAACATTAGCTGGGTATATTCAATAAGGGGCTTCTGTTATTAATTCATTATTTTAGTCATTCGTTTATTCGACTGGGACAGTGCACATATCTACTGTTGCTGCTAAAGCGCCACCGTTTGCAAAGGGGCTATTTTTCCTCCTGTTATTCCAGCTCATACATTTTCTCATATAGTTTGTAGGTATTGGACAGTGATAAGAATGTATCGATTTCTTATCAAGAATGTTGAAGTCCCGTTAATAAAAGGTCTATAGTGGTGTAAAAGTAGGGTTACTGGCCTGTGAGCACGTTGTTAAACAGTAAGTGATAGTGAGAAATGACAATTGAGTACATGTACATAATAGCTTCTGTTGACATGTAATCTCTAGTAACACCTGCGCCTTAAAGATGAGGGTAGCATCAAGTATAACTCCATGGTACCTGTATTCTGTTACAACCTTTAGCCTTTTTTTCTGAATCAATTTCATCCGGTTCAACACTAGAACTATTGTTTCAGTGAAAAAGATGCATACTGTTTTGGAAACATTTAGTTGGAAACAGCATTGCTTCAAAGCAAGCTGTTACATGAACCATGGTATTTGTAAGTATATAAGCAAATTGTGTCAAACTACCTCCTCCATGTGCTTATAGTGCAGTGTCAACAACACATGTAGATGTTTGTGCACTCAGGACATATACTGTAGATGATAAATCATTACTATATAATTAAAATAGCAATGATCCCAGGATCGAGCCTTGTGGGACACCTGTGAACCAATGCCATGTACCCTCTCTTTACCAGACCTCTCACTGATGTTCTTCATCGTATAGCTCAACTCATTCAGGATGAAGAGTGTGTGAGTCACATCCCATTTCATTTCTTTCACTTTCAGTCATTAACATCACGGCCACCCATAAACAAAGCAAAACAGGCCATATTTCAGTTATTCTTTAAGTGAGTTTAAAGTTCCTTATGTTATGTGTGTGTTTAGCCCCTGCAGTCTCTCTCAGTGAGTGACTCTAAGCTGAAGGCAGGGATGCACATCCTGCTGAGCGCTCTGGGAGGGCACGCTGCTCTGACTGAGGTGGACATCAGTGGAAACAACATTGGAGACACTGGAGCCAAAATGCTGGCCAAAGCCCTGTTGACAAACACCACACTCAGGTACACCTTCACACACACTGGCCAACAATTATAACGGACACAAATATCTCATCTAATTGAAATATGTGGGAATTACTAATAATAGCCTCATGGTTTAATAAACAGAGGGAGTTTCATGGTTGCATCTGTTTCTGGAACATATTTCTCTTTATGTTTCCTTTCCTTTTGTGAATCTACTTTTTGCCACCAGATGTCATCATTTCATTATTTGAAACATGCAGCACTTGATTAGCTCCAAGAGTGATTTACTTCCCTTTCCCTCTTTCTCTTTCTCTTCTTCTCTTAATCTCTTCTTTAAAGGACTCTATCATGGGACAGAAATAATGTTACTGCAAGAGGTTTCCAGGATGTTGCTGATGCCTTGGAGAGGTCATACACACGCACGCACGCACGCACGCACGCACGCACGCGCGCACGCGCGCACGCACGCACACACACACACACACACACACACACACACACACACACACACACACAAGCATATACTGTATACATTAGCCAAGGTTTTAAGAGAAGTCACACAACAGTGAAAGCTGATTAATTCTTAAAATAAAACATTGCACCTTCAACACTGTCTTTTGTGGCAAAACTTATAAGCTAATGATTGACAGGTATAATATTTACTATATTGGTTCAGCTTGTACTGCAGGTATTTGGTCATAAGGTTAAATACTGACCTGATCATGGTGCGACATGGGATCGATAGTTATAATTAATTCTGAGGGGGACATGAACGTGTGTACATTCCATGTAAAAAAAAGGATGTTGCCATCAATTGTGTCTTGCCATTATCATGACTATTGGGAAGTGTACTGTTTTGGACAGAAAGCATGGTGGATGAACGCCATCTTCATACAGTAGTTATTACTTTTAAAGTTATGCTTCGTTGTTACAGGAATTTCACTCTGCAGCAGGTATCTGGCCTGGTTGATATCACACAGAGTTACCGCGGCAACCCCGACAGAACAGAAGAGGCCCTGCACAAGGTCAGTGTGTGTGTGTGTGTGTGTGTGTGTGTGTGTGTGTGTGTGTGTGTGTGTGTGTGTGTGTGTGTCTGTGTGTGTGTTTGTGTGTGCGTGCGTGCGTGTGTGTGACAATATAACTACATGCCAGTACAAGTAATCTGACAACACTTTGTCATGATCTAATCTGAAAAGTATTTACAAAGGTGATTCATGTACTGTTTTTCTTTGTGTGTGCAGATTCAGAGGTGTTTAGACAGAAACAACCAGAGACAATCTGACAGAGTGGAACTCCAGCAAGTGTTTAAAGCTCAGCAATCTGAGATGGTAAGGAGTAAAATAAAAAAAGAATAATATTTAGTTGGAAGTCAGTTAACAATTATAGTACCACATACAGTCAACTATTAGTATAATAAAAGAATCAAATAGCGATCATCCCTGCAGGGAATATATATTTTTTTCGCAATAAGTGATCAATCAAACGGATCAAATCATACGAAAGATGGAGCTCTGTGACTGAAGCACATCTAATGGTTAGATCAAACACAGTTCCTGCTTCTTCTGTTTGTCCTCTCTTCCAGCAGGTCCAGGGTCTGTGTCTGCAGTTAGCGGACAGCCTTCAGCGTTTAAGCCCCTGCAACCCTCAGGAGGTCCAGGCTGAAGTCCTGACAGCACAGGAGGTTCTGCACAACGCCAGGGAGTCCTTCAAGGTACAGGCAGAGAAACAGAAATAGGAATGATGTCACCAACGGGCTCTGCCAGATCCTGCTGGGACTGTATTACACATCTGTTACACACATCTGAGAGAAAAATAATCTCAACATACTGCAGTCCTGTTCAACCACACCACTAACTGCCATTTCACTGGCAAGGACCATGCAGCATAATAGGTCCATTGAAGATTTAATAACAGCAAATATTGAATGTAAGGGGTGAAGAAGAGTGAGTGATGTCGTCTGTCAGGCTGGTTTGAAGTCCAGGCAGAGGGAGACTCAGTGTGGGAGTCCAGTCTCAATACAAGCCCCCAGACGGTACCTTGAATGAGAACAACAACTATGCACCAGATTAAATAGAAAGAGACAAGGGGAGACAGGAACAGAGGTTGAAGGAAGGGAGCGATGTAGGGAGGAAGGGATGAGGGTCGAGGGATGTAAGAAGGGAGGAATAAAGGGATGTAAGGAGGAAGGGATGAGGGATGTTTGTAGAAGGAGGTATAAAGTAAACAAGGGATTGAGGGATGAAGAAATAAAGGGATGAGTGGATGAAAACATCTAGGGTGAGATAAATGGTTGAAGGGAAGTGGGAAGGAAAGGAATAAGGGCCGAAGGGATGTAAGAAGGGAGGGATAAAGGGATGTAAGAAGGGAGGGATGGAGGGAGGGAGGAATACAGGAATGTAGGGATGAAGGGATGAAACCATGGAAGTGAAGATAAAGGGATGGGGATTGGATGAATGGCAGGAAAAGAGAGGGTGGGTTGTGAAATTGGAGCCAAATTAGGCTCCATGTGCTGATCGATATAAAGGGGATTAAGTTTTGGTTGAGGCGTGGCCCTGCTCTCAAACCCAAGTTACCTTTATACCTTCATCTCAGTTAGAAACATAACGTTGAATTAAAACGTTACATTTGAACATACATTGTAATATGGCAGAGCTGTTGAACTAGATTGTATCTGAAAGGTGTACCTAATAAAGTGTCCAGGGAGTGTAAATGACGCTTGATGTTTTGTTGGCAGCTGCTTCCCGCTCTATATGAGGAAGGCAGGAAGGCTGCCCCTGATGGAGGACTGGTGAACTGCATCCTCACTGACGCTGCTGCAACACTGGCTGATGAGATCAACAGAAGCATACAGGTACACATTAACGCATCCACACTGTATCAGGGCTGCTCATTTATCAAGGTTTCCACCTCATCAAGGCTAGCTTTACCGTGAGTTAGACTTCAAATCAGGGTTAGGGCCATTGCATCACTTCTGGTCCAGGATCTCGTCATCTCACGCATAGACTACTGCAACTCCCTCCTGGCTGGTCTACCTGTATGTGCCATCCGACCTCTGCAGCTCATCCAGAATGCAGCGGCTCGTCTGGTCTTCAACCTTCCTAAAGTTTCCCACACCACACATCTCCTTCGCTCCCTTCACTGGCTTCCAGTAACTGCTAGAATCCACTTCAAGACACTGGTACTTGCGTACCATGCTGCGAGTGGATCTGGCCCTTCCTACATCCAGGACATGGTTAAACCGTACACCCCAGCACGTGCACTCCGCTCTGCATCAGCCAAACAGCTCGCTGCATCCGCACTGTGTGTGCGTGCGTGCGTCAAGTTCCCATCAGCAAAAAACACCGTGGGTTTGCTATCCTGGCTCCAAAATGGTGGAATGAGCTCCCCATTGAAAATCAAGGACAGCAGAAAGTTACACATCTTTCCGGCGCAGACTGAAAACTCAT